CTGGTACCTCTTCCACAAATTCAAATTTTGAATATCCATGAAGCTCATAAAACGCGAAATAAATATCCGATTCCATTCAAAGTTTGGTCAAAGTTTTGATTATAAAATAAGCATCCGGTTCGAAATAAGCATCCGGTTCTCTTCATATTTCACACATCCTATTATTTCTACTTAACCATGATCTGCTGTGAAGATGGGAGATTCAGACTTGGTATATCTCAATATTTCCATCAACATAAGTTCCGTTATTAATATGGGAGGGATCGGACCTTTTCTTTTGGTACCTGCCCCACATGGGGTTCACAATTTTGAAAAACCAAATGCTCAAAGAAAGCGTAATAAGCAACCAACTCTCCTCAAATTTTACACATACAAGCATTTTTGCTAACACAAGATCTGTTGCGAAGATAATATATATTATATATAGTAATTTTTTGGAGAAAGGGTCAAAGTTTTTGTGGCGTATTATAGTAATATATTTTAAACATTGATGCAAGGTATAGAATCTTCCTCCAGGCGACCTAAACACTATTGTTGCTTGTTTAAATTCTAACCCTTCGCGCAAATTAATGTGATTAATATGGAAACATATCAGGCCGAACGATGAAACACCAAAAGTTGATGACAAACGTTGTAACACAATACTTTCGGCAAAGTTTCGAAATACTTAACCCTACCATTAGGCGTGCAAAAACATTCTATTCAACGCCTTTGCCACTTCTGATGCCGACTTGCCTGCTGGGCAGTTTCGCCAACGTCTTAAGCCATCTAGGATTTCATTACAACTCAAACAGCATTATTCTACGCTTCAAGCCCATTTGAAATCCAGCTAACTGCGTGCGTTGCCTACGGTGAGACGAACGATGATCATGGCTTATGGACATGCCACATGATAAGTTGGTAGGGAATTGTTGGCAGTGCGGCGGTCGGCAATTGTGGTCGTCTTGCGGTAATTAAAGCGTGAAAATCACAGTTTAAATTGTCATAAATTTGTGGTATTTAAAGAGAGGGAATCTTTGTCTCAGCTGTAGCCGTAGCTATGGCTGTGGCTTTTGTCTTCGAAGCTGTTTCCAGTTACAGCAAAAAAACATGTATTTAGCAAGTTGTTACTGGCATTTAAGCGTAGGCTTCTATGCCTTCCCTTTGTTGTACTTTTCCGGCAGACATACCTGGTGGTCATTATCAGTTTTAAGTGGGGATTTCATTGTTCTAAGGTTTCAGATTGGCTCAAAGAATGCGCACGTAGATCTTGGGCGATGATTGTGAGTTCGAAGAATGAAATCGTGTATACCTGGAAAATGGTGAGCTTCAATTTAATTGAAATCCATACTGAAATTCTGCCGTAAAAGGTTGTTGAAAACTTTCCGAATATGAGTAATTGTAACAGATCATTGTAATGCAATGCTTAACATACTCCTGTTCGATGGCTCATGTTACGACGAACTATAAAATAAAACAATAATTTAGAAAGTTGCAACATTCAAACACTGCGAACCGAAAATTTAGTGAGAAAGGGGAAAATCCCTTTTGGCTATTAAACTCCCTGTGTAGACAGGGCGAATAGGCAGGTTAGCCGTGCGTTGAACATCCGAGATTTAGCGTAGTTTTGTTTATTTGTATTAGCTCTGCAGGACATCTGGTATTGAGAGTGGGCTATATATCCACGTTTTGGTATAGCCTTCTTATAACTGTACCGAAAAATTTAAGTCTTTTTGGTTTTCTATTCACAATTTTACCCCGAATTTGTAAGAAACATCCTTGCATAGAAATGTAAATATCGGTCTGTAGTACAGTACCTCCCACATTCAATACGAATTGAGACGATTGCACCATCATGAACGTAGTTGAGCCAAAACTACTAATGGGATGCGGGATGGACTCCGAGGATGATATTCATACTAAAGGTGTTACTGGCATCTGTGTGCATCAGTATGCGATTCTGACGTGCTAGATACGCTTGTCGAACTAGAGGCTCTGGACCCCATTCATAGATCGTGTCAGTCTTTCCAAACATGCCTGGGCGGGGGAGCTTATCCACCATATGATGGTCTGGATGACAGTTGTGCTGAGATTCAAGAGGGTATTGCAACGAAAGCATATGACTCTGTAGAAGTTCTGACAGGGCAGAGTTCTGCCAGGTCTGTATGTTCGTATCACTAGTATTCACTGGCCACATTGAGACCGCATAGATCACCACAGACCGACCTATTCCGTTATAAGGAACCAAGAGGGTTCCTTGTTTGCGCCCCAATTGCTCCCGGCTAGCGCCTTGAGAACCTTATACCTACTCTTCAATTTATCACACATAGCTGTGGCTTGCGTGGACAAGTTTAACATGCTTTCGAATGCGACCTTGGGGTAATTTGTAGTCGGTAGTAAATGTCCCTAGACAGCATATTCAGGTCCAGGAAAATGTTATCCGCAGACCACCACCAAAGATAGTGGTCATTCACTTAGTGGCGGATATTTTATTATTCCTCGCGCTGAAAAAGATGGCGAGCTTCGCGAAATAGATGTTCAACCTTACTCAAATGGCAACAACAATGGCTCCCGACGTTATCCTCATAACATATGAGGATAACGCCGTCTTAAACAGTTCCGGAGATATCGCTCCATTGGGTTCACTATTTCACTCTACGCGGTTTGGACTTTTTATTCCGGTATTACACGATTAGTTTATTATCCAAAATTTTAAAATTGGACGGAGGGTAGTACTCTCTACTCAAACAGACAAGGCCTACTAACGCTGTTCTATGGCACTGCATGTTCTTGTTCTCAACTAATATGTGTAAATATTGCGTGCAATGCTGCTATGGTACTATTTTGTGGATGGAATCTGGATTGATGGTTAGCAACTGAATAGCTTCCTTTGATGCTAGGGAGAAGTACAGCATTAAGAGCCTTTAACTACTGGCTACAAAAGCGAAATTGGCCTGTATGATTCGCCTTTACTGGCAGCTTTGCTTGGTAGCATGACCACCAATTTTTAATGCTTCGGAAACGATGAGAAATTTAGTGGGATACTCGACGCCCGGCGTATCAGCAACTTTACCATTAATATTCCGTTCGGAACATCACCTATCAAAAACTTTGGCGGTACCACCTCTTATACGAAGTAGTACTCTTCGCTTCGCCCTGTCATTCTCGGGATGCTCGAGAAATTGGCGATTAATGATACCAGGCTATTAGTGACCGTTACGACCTTTGTTGTACATGTGGTCATATTAAAATTTTTCGAAGGATTCGAGAGTGACTTAACTGTATCCTACAATTAACTCATTTCCGTCCCAAATATTGCAACGCTTCAGATAGTCTAACCATTTTTGGCGCTTGTGCTCCTGTATCAATCTATTGACCTCCACTGTCAGTTCGCTGACTTTGGAATCTGTAGGGTTGGAAAGTTGGGCTCGCCGGACCTGCTACCTCTGTTGGGAATTTAATAAGGCAAAATGTGGAATGAAAGCTTACAACAAAACCCCTGCTCCACCACTACTACTTCTTCAGCCATCCTCTCTCAATACGTGTCAATCTCAACAAAATTGTAAGCAGCAATTTTCATTAAGCTTGGTTTCCTGCTCGTCTGCGTCGTAGTCCGTTGCAATTGAATTGACAACGATGCACTATCCGGAAATGGAACAGCAACACCTGGTGTAAGTTGTTACGGTATAGGTTTCTATTCGGGAGACTGCGGTGTAATTCCATACACCGGAGGCAACTCACACGATGACCACGAAGCCGTGGTTCCGCTGGGAACTGCAACAGCACGTCGCAACGTACTCCCTATCGCTATAGTCTCGCAATCGACTTAACCCAGTACAATTTCTAAAATGCAAGCAAAGAGACTGATCAATGGTGAATGACGTTCTTACAAATCGAACAGAACTGCGGTTCGGAGTCTTGTTCGATCTCGAAGCATACCAAATGGATTCGGAACATGCATTTCAGATATGCTGCTCCCAAAGAACAAACATAACAAAAACGAACAAATATACTCTGAGGACCTGTAGTGAGATTACAGGTGGTTTCCATCGCCGAAAGGATTATACAAATCTAGTCATTTTGTCATTTGTGTCTTGCACAATATCCGATATTATAAAACTGATTTTAACCTGTATTCCAAAATTTTCCCATTTAAGCAATGAAGTGTCCTATTAACATTTAACTATTAGTGACTCTATTTAACATCATCAACTGAAAGTTCACTTAGTTCTTTCGTGTGATGACGTATTCATGACCACTGACAGACCATGTTTTGGTTCAGATAACATTACAACTAGCTGTAATTTATTCCACATCAGAATGGCTGGGAAAAAAGCACCCGCTACCAAATTCACCGAACAACAACAACGACACGTATTTCCCTGTTGCCCAAATGGGTTAAATGTTCTCTGACAACGATTCATTTGAATCCCATTACCCCAAAAACGTGAAGGAATAACAAATATTGCATTGCTGTATCGGCACCGAACTTTTTGTTTTCTTAATTCACTTATCTCTGATCGAATGCCAACACCAAACAACAACTGTCGATTTTTTCCGCCAATGCGAACAGTTAAATTACATGCAAATCCAATTAAGTTGTTAACTCTTTTTGCAGTTTGTGCGATGGTCGGACGATTCGAGGGCTCTGTGTGTCGTTGGCAATTGTGCTTGTTGTCGTTATTGGATCGCAGTTTGTTGATTATTTAAGGAGCCTTATTGACTGAATCGCAACTCCTTCCATCTCCTTTGCCAACCACATCCACTTTGCATTCATCGATCCATCCATCCTTGAGGTCTGTCTTTGGACTTTGGTTTTTGTTAATTTATTGCCATGAATTGGGTTTCTTTTGTCCTAAATGAGCAGCAGCGGCGGCGGCAGCACCAACAGCCGCTTGTGATGTTGCAACAATCGTTGGCTCTGCGCTGCGGTCAATATTGACCGATAAGGACCATCAACAATGTGGTAGCTATTGGGAGTAAAGGGTCCTAAATATGGTGTTAATGTCAATACCGTGGGTGAAAGGAAAATATCCTAACTTCTGGCATCTCAGGTTTTCCTGATTCTTTTTCAGTGATGTTCCTCACAAACACTTTGACATTGCCGCTTACTTATCCGTATATGTATGCGTTCTGCTTTCATTTTCGAAACATGTCGTCTGTGCTTTCACGGACTTTTTCTTTTTCTCCTTTTACTTACTTACAATTCAACCATTGTTACAAGCGGTAAGAATTCGTTTCAAAAAAAACCTAAAAATTTTCTTTCAATAAAGGATATTCCTGTATTGTTTAATTCAACACTCTAATCCTTTTGTGTTTTTATTTCCTTCTTTTTTTTCCTATACATCCTGAAATCCATCTGGGAGAAATATTGTGTTTCCACCAATATTTCTTTGGTTCGGTTTCTAAGCGCCTTCATTTTCTACAGGAAAATAACCGACGAATCCCTGGTATTTTCATTTGGTCCTCACGATCCGGATAAGCTTAAGCCGAAATTTCTGTTCCAGTTTGGATTAACAACTTTACTTATATTTCCTTTTTCATCAAACTTGAGGTAAGTTTGTGCTTTCGTTCCTTTAATTATAAAAGTGCAAATTTTTCCTAAAATAAAAAGTGCATTTGCCGTCGGCAAAACATCATTCTTTTTCAATACGCGTTTTGGTGGAAGAGTGTCCGCGACAATTCAATATTTAAGAGAACAGTGCATTTGAATTTCATTTAAGGAATAACTCCTCTTAAAACTTCATTTCGAATTAAGAGCATTATTTGAGTTATTTACATTATTCTTTCGATCAACGCTACACAAATTTAAAGTTTGCGCTTAATTGTATTTGTGATCATTTTGTGCTTTAAAATCAAGTGACAACAACAATTCATTTTTCTTCGTATTCTCATTGTTTTCATTGCTGCTGTGTTTGGTGATGTTGCATTGAGTGATTGTTGTTGTTTTCTTTCGCTCTCCCTATCCCATCTCATCCATATGTGCATAGGGTTCACCAATTCGAAAGTCGACCTTTAGTACTTCTTAGTATTGAACTAAATATAGGGGTCTCCAATTCGTTTTTCGTATCCGTTGAACCGACTAGTAACCGGTTCCATTCATTGAATATTTTTATTTTTCTTTCTTCATCAATAATAATTCGTTTTTAAATATTTCTTGCGAAAATAATTATATTAATTTTTAGAAAAATAATAATTAAATTTCAAGTATATATATATTTTTTTTTTATCATAATAAATATTTTTTCTATATATATATTTCTTGGAAATAAATATATCTGTTGAAAGTAAATATTAATAAACAATTTCCTCTTTTTTTTTGAATACCAGTCGTTGAATAATTTAGAGGATTTAACCCTAAAATTACGTTTTTTGCTTCATTCTATCGTTTTTGAACATTTTTCGAGGTTTGTTTTTGGGTTTTTTTTGATAATAAATTTGATATTTCCAGAAAAGTTTCAATTTATTTAATTCGGGTTTGCGATTTTGATTTTTCTATTTGATTCGCAATTGTTCATTTCAAAAATTTTCTTCCTTTTCTGATTCTAAGTAACTTATTCCAAAATGTCTCTCGACTCATTCATTCGTCTTGCCGATACCATCGTAGGATTTGACTCGGATATTAGTGATAATCTCCTTCCAGTCAACTCCATTCATTCTGTCAATGTCCACATTGAAGAAATAAAGTCCATATGGGTCAAAATTAAGTCCGAGTATGATATATACATCCGAGATCGTGAATCCGAGGGCAATGGAGACGAAGAGTCGGGTGATGAAGACACAGCTTCTGAACTAGAGACAATTCGGGCTAAGTATAAGACGACGTACCTAACTTACTGTAAGTGTATATCCCAGTTGTCTCAGATATCCGAGGAACTACAATCGGCTTCAATTCCAAAGGAGTCTCCCGTGGCTCCCAGTCCAGTTCCTACATCCAATCCTGAGCAGGTGAACGCAGGATATTCTTTCAATTTACCGCCATGTGATACAGAGGTCTTCTCCGGGGATTATATGTCATGGCCCACATTCCGAGACATGTTTACGGCTGTGTACATAAAAAATCCTCGCCTCAGTCCAGTTGAGAAATTATTTCATTTAGTTCACAAGACCAAAGGCGAAGCAAAAGAGATAGTTCAGAAGAGTCCTCTTACTAATAGTGGTTTCAGCCAAGCGTGGTCCAGCCTGTGCGATCGCTACGAAAATAAGCGAATTCTCGTAAATGGCCAGCTTAAAGTTTTATTCAACCTTTCTTCCGTTCCTTCTGAATCTGCTCAGAGTTTAAAACGCCTCCAAAGAGACATTAATTCATGCATCTCTGTTCTCGAGACCTACGATATTGACGTGGCTAGCTGGGATCCCATTTTTGTCTATCTCTGTTCTAATCGTCTACCTGATTCCACACTTACTCTTTGGGAGCATACCCTCTCGGACAAGTCCAGTATTCCACGGTGGGCGGAATTGGACACATTCCTAACAAATAGATATCGCACTCTAGAGTCTGTTTCAGAGATGCGAAAAGGTGTTTCAGGTTCAAGCCAAAAGGAAGGTTCGTCCGATATAAAGTCCAAAGCTTCCAAAAAGTTTAGTTCGTTCCAAAGTAAGGTCTCTGATCCCAAATGTCCGTTGTGTCCAAACGAGGCTCACATAATTCGCAAATGTCCGAAGTTTTTAAAAATGAATTATGATGCGCGCATTTCTGAGATCAAACGGCAAGGACTGTGTCTCAACTGCTTTTCAAAAACGCATTCCGTGAAAAATTGTCCTAGCAAACATAGTTGCTATACATGCAATAAGCGCCATAATACTCTTCTGCATAGAAACTCTGTTCATTCTTCTTCCTCCTCAGCACCATCTACATCTAGCCCTGCTCCAAATTCAAACCTCAATCCCAGCTCCGCTCCATTTTCACATTCCGGATTACAGTCCACTAGTAGCGGAGTGGGGACTGTACAAAATTATTTTTCTGCTAGTGTTCAGGGGGTATTGCTAGGTACGGCGATGGTACAAATTGTTCATAATGGTGTGACATATTCGGCTCGGGCGCTCTTCGATTCTGGTTCCGAGGGAACTTTTATTTCAGAATCATTGTTTAATAAACTTAAATTGCCTCATAAGCGCACGAGAGCTCAAATTTCAGGTTTGAATGATTCTAATTCTGCCAGCGTACGTAAACAGTGCTCTTTCATTCTTTCTTCGCAATTTGACCACAACTTTGAATTAACAATTACTGCCTTCGTAATTCCTAAACTTTCGGGGAATCTGCCAAGTCATTCTATTCCGACTGCTTCGTTCAAAGATCTTCCAAATATTTCATTGGCTGACCCTAACTTCTACAAGAGCTCACAAGTTGACCTACTTTTTGGCAGCGATGTGCTGCCAGCCCTAATGCTTTCTAATTCAAGATCAGGTATATGCGGCTCCCTTCTGGCCCAAGAGACAGTCTTCGGATGGATCTTGACGGGCCCCATAGGTAAGAATTCGTCCAGGGTCGTCAACATAATCTCTAATTTTTGCGAAATCTCTTTGCATAAAGAGATTTCACGCTTTTGGGAGGTGGAGAATCTTCCAAGGAAGAACTTCTTGTCCCCACCCGATAAATTTTGCGAAGATCTTTTCAAATCAACTACGACAAGAACTACTGACGGTAAATACATGGTTCGTTTGCCTTTTAAGGAGACTAATTTTAATGGCGAAGGTTTAGGACATTCCAGGTCCAGTGCTATGGCTCAGTTCTATAGGAACGAAGCTCGACTCTTGCGTACTCCCGAGTTAAAGAAGGAATATGATCGAGTCGTTCGGGAATACTGTGATCTAGGCCATATGCGCTGTATTCCCCATTCTAACGTTTCATCCGGTCCTAGTTATTATTTACCTCACCATGCCGTCATCAAACCTGAGAGCGTATCTACAAAGGTCCGGGTAGTATTTAATGCCTCCTCTCCTACTTCCAGCGGGTTAAGTCTCAATGATATTCTACATACGGGTCCAATTTTGCAATCAGACCTAACCTTGTTAATTTTGAGGTGGAGATTCTTTCGCTTCGTTTTCAATGCCGACATTGAGAAAATGTATAGGCAAATACTAATTCATCCAGATCATGCTAAGTTCCAGATGATCTTATATCGTTCAAGCCCGGATGAGGAAATTCAAGACTTTCAATTACAGACAGTGACATTTGGGGTCAATTCCGCACCTTATCTGGCGATACGAGTACTGCACCAGTTAGCTGAGGATGTTCGTTCAGAACTTCCTAGAGCTAGCGACATTCTTCGCAATTTCATGTACGTTGACGATGTACTCGGTGGGGCTCATTCTATTACTTTAGCCCTACGTTCTATTCAGGAGTTGCAATCAGCTTTGAAGTCCGCTGGATTTTCTTTGCGAAAGTGGACATCCAATTTGAAGACAATTCTGGCCGATATTCCGCCTGAGCATCTCCTTCGACAGGACTTTCTTGAGTTCGAAGAAAGTAGTACGGCCAAAATGTTAGGCATACGATGGGATGCCCATTCAGATTCTTTCTTTTTCACTGCCAAACCATTTTCTAATCCGTCCACATATACCAAACGTGTACTTCTGTCGCATATAGCAAAATTGTTCGATCCAGCAGGTTGGTTATCCCCATGTGTGGTTTTGGCAAAAATTATGATGCAGAAGATTTGGGCCTCTGGTATCGGATGGGATGATTTATTGTCTCAAGATATTGTTTCCGATTGGTTGCAATTCCAAAATGATTTTCCGTCCATTGATAAAATTCGAATTCCGCGCTGGATAGATTTCACGCCTACAAGCAATATTCAATTTCATGGCTTCTGTGACGCGTCAGAGAGCGCGTATGCAGCGGCCTTGTACATTCGTATATCCTCTGGCGCATCTATTTCCACGCACCTCCTATATTCCAAGACAAAAGTAGCTCCATTAAAAACCCTGTCCATTCCAAGACTTGAGTTATGTGGTGCTGTCCTCCTAGCTGAGATGATCGATAGCATTCTTCCGTCTTTGGATGTCCCGTCCTATTCCATATACTGCTGGACGGACTCCACAATTGTTCTTTCGTGGTTGGCTAAACCACCTTGCTTCTGGAAAACATTCGTGGCAAATAGAGTTTCCAACATTACTCAAATTGTTGATTCATCCAAATGGCGTCATGTTTCTTCTGAGACAAATCCAGCAGACCTGGCAAGCAGAGGCGTTTTCCCGTCAGACCTTGTCGGTAATGACTTATGGTGGCGGGGACCTCATTGGCTGCGCGAAACATCGAGCACGTGGTGTGCAACCGCTATTTCAATTTCGGACACAAGTCTTGAAAAGAGGTCCATTCAAGTCAACTTTGCCTATTTTTCTGATTTCCAAGACGTCTTAGAAAGGTTTTCATGCTTCAGTAAAGCTCTTCGTGCCCTCGCTCTGGTTTATAGATTCATATCTCGCACGCATCATGGATTTCGTACTAATTCCGTTCACGTATCGGGCCCTTTGACTAGCAATGAGCTGAATCTAGTGAGAAATCGTTGGATTCAGTTGTGCCAAAAGGCTTTCTATCCAAATGAATACAACGCACTATCCGCCAAACGTCAAATTCTTGCTTCCAGTTGTATCGGTAATTTAAATCCTTTCCTAGATGCTGACGGAATAATTCGTTCATGTGGCCGCCTTTCATCCTCTGCTGGCCTATCTTATAATGAAAAACATCCAATCATTCTTCCATCCAATTGCCATTTCTCAAAATTGCTGGTTTCTTTCGTACATTCTGTTACTCTTCATGGTGGTAACCAGCTAGTTCTGCGAGTAATTCGGTCTCAATATTGGATTCCCAAGGTGAAAAATCTCATCAAGGTCACTATTAACAAGTGTAAAGTTTGCATCCTTTACAAGAAACGTTGTCAAAAGCAACTAATGGCTGCCCTTCCTCCAGAAAGGACCGAGCTTTCTCGCCCATTCGCACGAACTGGTCTAGATTTCGCTGGACCATTCGATTTAAAAACATATAATGGTCGGTCCTGTCGTATCACTAAAGGATACGTATGCGTTTTCGTTTGTTTCGCAACGAAGGCTATCCATTTAGAACTCACTTCGGATCTTTCCACATCCACGTTTCTTTCAGCGTTTCATCGCTTTGTTTCACGCAGAGGTTGCCCGTTGCATTTGTATTCCGACAATGGGACAACATTCGTAGGGGCTTCGAAGATCTTAGCCCGAAACTTCCTGCAAGCCTCTCGCGACGGAGTCACCGCCTATTATGCTCTACAAGGACTAACTTGGCATTTTATACCTCCGGGTGCTCCCCATATGGGTGGATTGTGGGAAGCCGGAGTTAAGAGCTTCAAGGCTCACTTTCGTAAGTTCGCAGGTTCAATGAAGTTTACATTCGAAGAATTTTCCACTTTGTTGTCCCGCATAGAAGCTTGCCTTAATTCCAGGCCATTGTCACCCATTTCGCAAGATCCTTCTGACTTTGCTGCCTTAACTCCCGGGCATTTCCTTATTGGGACTCCTATCCTGGTTCCCGTCGACCCTCAAATTGATACTTCTTCCACTTCCATTCTCAATCGTTGGGAAAAGTTGAAGGCCATTCACCAGACTTTCTGTTCACGATGGAAAAACGAATACTTGCGTGAGCTTCAGAAACGCAATAAATGGCAAACTTCCGAACCTAACGTCACCGTCGATTCTTTAGTAGCTGTCATTGAGGACAATCTTCCACCGAACGCGTGGCGTCTAGGACGCATTTCGAAAGTATATCTGGGTTCAGACGGACGTGTACGAGTCGCGGATATAATTACCCAACGGGGAACTATAACCCGGCCAGTCACGAAACTCGTCTTATTATCCGCCCAAAACTAATACTTTCTTCCATCCAATATGTTCCTGATTTTTAATCTGTAACATTTCGCTACATTCGTTCCTTCTACGCCAAGTAGAACACAATGTCCAACAGATCGCTATCCCGTGCACGATCAGTAATTCGTTCCAGCGTGGAGAAGCAGCGTCCGGCATATTCTTGCCATGTATGTAAAAGTCGCCATCCGTTACGCCTCTGCAGAAAATTTCTCGGAATGAGCATCTCGGGTCGTGTCAGCGCTGTCGAGAAATACAAATACTGCAGGAACTGTCTTGCACATGAACATTCTCACGGCAGTTGCTTCTCATCGCAGGGTTGCAAGAAGTGCCACAAGCGGCACCATACGTTGCTCCACTCGTCGGCTGAACGTACCCAACGTCAACGACGCCCTCAAACCGAAGATCGCTCCCAACCCGAAGGTCGTTCCCAATCCGAAGGCCGTTCTTGCCCCGAAGTTACGCCATCGACTTCCCGAAGCATTTCCCACCAGACGCTCTCCTCGTTTATGCGCCAAAACACTGTCGTCTTAGTTCCCACAATAGTCGTATATATATCGGATGGAAAGATACAATCGACAGCGAGATGCCTCCTAGATTCTGGATCTACTATCAGCAGAATATCGAAGCGGTTTACCGACTCTATAAAGCTGACCACGCTCACTTTGGACCAAGAGTCATTATGTCCTTTGACTTTAACTTCGAGGTTCGATGCCGAGCGGCATATCGACGTCATGCTAAGAGTGAATGGTCGCATGAACATCAAAACGCCTTCTAAAAATCTGCCCGCCGACGTCAAGGAGAATTTTATCAACTTATGTTTGGCAGATTCAAACTTCTTTGAGCGATCCACAGTCGACATTATCATTGGTGCCGACATCTATACAAAGATAGTTTTCGACGGTTCGATCACGAGGCCCGGACTGCCAACAGCCCTCAACACCATATTTGGCTGGGCAATTTATGGACCACATTTGTTCTAGCCGATATTTCTGTCCTGAAGTAAAAATTTGTTGATAACATAAAATATTTTGTTCTATTCTGAAGTAAAGTAATGAATTCCGATGAAAATTTTGCACTATTTTGTATTTATTTTTATTCTTGCGAACGAAACACAAACTTTCCTTTTCAGCTACCATTCAGATTACGTTGTAATCCGGAAAAGTACACACGACATGAACTTGTCCTCATTTCTTTCATTGCAGTGCAACTGCAAGGTGGGCGGCGATGTTAATGTCAATACCGTGGGTGAAAGGAAAATATCCTAACTTCTGGCATCTCAGGTTTTCCTGATTCTTTTTCAGTGATGTTCCTCACAAACACTTTGACATTGCCGCTTACTTATCCGTATATGTATGCGTTCTGCTTTCATTTTCGAAACATGTCGTCTGTGCTTTCACGGACTTTTTCTTTTTCTCCTTTTACTTACTTACAATTCAACCATTGTTACAAGCGGTAAGAATTCGTTTCAAAAAAAACCTAAAAATTTTCTTTCAATAAAGGATATTCCTGTATTGTTTAATTCAACACTCTAATCCTTTTGTGTTTTTATTTCCTTCTTTTTTTTCCTATACATCCTGAAATCCATCTGGGAGAAATATTGTGTTTCCACCAATATTTCTTTGGTTCGGTTTCTAAGCGCCTTCATTTTCTACAGGAAAATAACCGACGAATCCCTGGTATTTTCATATGGATTCATTAGCTACGAACAATTGTCATTGCTGCTTTGCGGATAATGGATGGCTTGGAATGAATGACCTAAATGATATGCATGTATGATTGATTGTCTGGATCAATGATTAATGCAATTAACGTTTTGTAATAATAATTCTTAAGTTGTCGTCAACAGGGACGTAGTCACGAGGAGAATAGGGAGAATGTGAGTCCTACTAAGATTATTGCATTTCATTTTTTATAGCATCTACCCTATTCTGTATTGTAAATTACGTTGTTATTCCGCTGTAACACCTCGTCATAAAAATATTAAACCCTGCAAAGAATTCTTGCTGTGTATACAGCTCTACATCAATTAAGCTATGTCCTTCTCCTAAAAAAATTGTCATTTCAACAAATTGTGCTAGATATTTTGCACAATTTTGTCATTAGACTGGTCGACTTCGTATACTTTAGAATAACCCCATTTATAAATGTCATCATAATAACAAGTAAAAAGCTGTAAGTTCGACCGGGCCGAACTTTGAATACCCTTCACCATTTGGAACGAATTTGGCAATTCTCAAAAACAATAAAATCCGTTAAAAATTCTGTTAATATCTTAAAAATACCGAATGTAACAGTTATATTAGGGTCCATACGCCGATACTGACCTGCATAGGTAACTTTTGTCATAAGCCATTAAAATATTCAAATACGAAACTAAAAAAAAAATCGGTTAATAATGTAGCTAAAATCATTAAAATACCGAATATTGGGAGGTACCGCTATATGGGGGCTATACGAAGACGTGGACCGGCACAGACAATTTTCTGTCTTAGACTGTAGTATCCATTACGAAGTTCAAATACCAAATTTGAAACAATTCCGGTGAATAATATCGCTATAATCATCAAAATACCGAATATTGGGAGTTATATCGGGCTATACCAGAACGTGGACCTATATGGCCCATTTTCAATACCAAAAGTCCTGCAGACATAATTTACATTTGATCAAAATTTTATCAATCTACTTCATTTCGTTCGTAAGCTGGAGTGATTTTCACAGACGAAAATACGGACGGACGTCGCTAAATCGACATAGAATTTCATCCTTATCAAGAATATATATACTTTATAGGTGTTACAAACGGAAGGACAAACATACTATGGTGTATGGTATAAAAAGAGTGTGATTATAGATAGATTAAGACATTTCTTCTAAGAGCAATAAAATAGGTATTTTCAATCTCGTAAATTCTAACTTATTTTAAGGGTGTGCATTCGTCATTTAATACAGCCTTTAGACGACGTTGGTTATTATTGGTTGGTTACTTGAAATTTTTTGTCGCTTTATTTGATTATCAATTACTTTTCGTTTTCCGTGTATATAAAAGATTAGTGGAATAACCGACCGACTGACCTAAATTCAACGCCCAGGCGGCTTAAACTGGAATCTTGAAATTTTGGGTAAGAGCCACTCAGACTCCGAACGTGAGTTTGTGGAAATTCGAACTAGAACGGCACGAAAAGTACTAAAAGATACTAGATATGGGTCCCTTTGTATATGACGAACCAGTAGAGCTATAATTATTAAATTTTTATTGAGTGTCACTGATAGAAGTACCAAATGTACTAACTTGGTACCATTTCATATCATGTGAACGTTTAGAGCTAAAAACTTGAAATTTAGAATGGAAATCAAGGTTAAGGAGTAGGGTTGGAGTTTTGGAAGCGAACTATATATACGAAAGGTACTACACGGTACTAAATTTAGTAAGATTTCGATTTGTATGAATTGATAAATTGGAATGCTGAATTTTGAAATGAACATTACTGGCAGAGAGTAGGATTGGGATATGCAGGTAGTTTTCGAAATTTGTATTTATGTGCACGAAAAGTACTAAATGGTACTAAATTTGGCACAATTTGAATTTTGGGATAACCGGTGGTGCAGGAATCCTGAAATTTTGTATTAAGATTGCTATTGAATTTTAGGATTGGGGTATGTAGACATTTTTGGAAAATTTTACTTATGTGTACTAAGTAGTAGTAAATTTGGCACAATAAAAATTTTGGGAGAACCGGTAGGGTTGGATTCCTGAAATTTGGAATTAAGATTTCTTGGAATTGTATGATGTGGGTAGTTATGGAAATTTGTACTTACGTGTACTAACGTTGATGTTTTGGATTTGGGTGAACCAAATGAGCTGATATTTTGAAAGGTTAGAGTCGGAGTGTAGAATATGAAAGTAGTTTTCGAAATTTGTAGTTATATGCACGAATGGTACTATATTTCGTATTGCTTGAACGGATACTGCTTGAAATTAGAAATTTTTCAACAGGTTATTGTGTAGGGTTGAGATTTGTGCGGTTTGACCGACACATGGTGGAGAGTTTGCAATGTGTACGATAAAGTGCCAAAAGTACTAGGTAGTATTAACTTTCGTATTTGGGTAAGGAATGGAACTGGAAAACTAAAATTTGGAGTAAAAGCCTTTGATGTTGTGTAGAATAGACGAACTGAAGGGATTTTCGGAATGCATGAATTATGGCTTTCAAACGGCCAATGAAATTGTCACAAGCTGCCAGAATGTTGCTCTGTGGTATTTTGGTCCATTTCCAGCGAAGCGCTTGCTTGAGGTGATCGACACTTTGGTATTTTTTAGTGCCAACCTTGTTTTCCGAAATACTACAGACACAATTGTCCAACGGATTGGTATTCGGAGATTTTGGTGGTCATTGTGCGCTGGAAATGAAGCGAGGAACCTCGTTTTGTAACTATTCTTGAGTGGCGCGAGCAGAGTGTGATGGTGCTGAGTGCTGTTGGAATGTCCAAAGTCTACGGCCAAAATGTCTGCGTGTCCAAGGCTTTAATACGCCCTCCAGAATATTTTCGCGATAATATTCGGCATTTGTTTTGATGCTTCGGTCGATTAATACGGGTGGAGAGCGACCATCGACTGTTAAGGCGACCCACACCATCACCATAGCCGGCGCTTGAGTTCTGGTTGCCTACCGAAGGTGCACATTTTCAGCTAACCTCTATGGCAAGTAAACACGATCATTTGGTTTGCTTACAAACTGCTGGACAACGAATGTTTTCTCATCGGAGAAAACCAAATTCAGCAGTTTACCACTTTTGGCCAAGCGAAGCTACTCTTTAGCTCTTTAGTCTATTTTCTTTCTGTTACGGTGTAATTTCTTGCACTTTTTGGAATTTCAATGGCTTTACCCCTAGCTCATTTTTCAATGTTTGCCGATCAAACCGCTTCTTTACTTTTCGAACTATTTCTGCCGATGTTGCTGTTTTCTTACGTCCACTTCCTTGACGTCGGGCTACGCTACCAGTATCACGGTAACGAGCGATAGTACCAGACGCAGAAGATTTATTCACATTTAAATGCTGAGGTGCTCTAACGATAGCCACTTGTGGTTTTCCAGCCAAATATAAAGAATACACACTATCACGCTTGAATTCCATCACGAATAACTTCTTTTCTGGAAAATTCTCACCAAAATGCCTTTGTACGCTTGTAAACAATATAATGAACTATCACTGGAATAATTTTAACGGCTGTCGGACAAGTGGCTTAAAAATGACAGCAGTCTGAAGTTGGTTGCAGTTTTTTCCGAATGTTAATACGAAATATTTTATATAAGTGCTATAAAATATGTATTTCCGCAAATTCTGGATTATTTTCGATTTTCGTTCATGATTTAACAAAGCTTTTGGTTAGTGTGCGCTAAAATTTAAAAAAAAAAATAAATTAAAGAAAAAATGTGGGTCTAAATATCGATATATTTGATTATCATAGCTTTCAAAACAGAGCGTCCAATCAATATACTATTACTCAATAAAAATTATAAAATAAACGGCCGGTTTTCATGTCAGCTAAAGGGAACAACAAATTCTATGTTGAGTAATGCTCCATTCCCAGCACAATTGTTAAGGTCATTTGAGTAAAACGTCAAATTGAATGGCCCTTAATTTCCAATGGTTAGAGACAAAGGAAACATAAATATTCGCCAAACCATCGTCCGCACATAATGAGAGGCCCTATTAGCCGATGGATGCAGTGATTGAAGAATGTTCAGGCATCATTGTGATTTTTCGTGTAGTGGTACGAACGAACAACCTTCTCATGGCAAATGCATTCACGGACACACAAGCACACATCGCGAAGTTGAGATGCTTGTACTTTTTGTATGATTGTCGTTTGACTTGATTTGTTTGCAGTCCTTAATTTCAGAGGACATGGGCATGAACAGATGAGTGTTGTTATTCCATGGGCATGAATTCTTGAATGTGGCTCAAAAGACATAGAAAATGGGGACGGTATTTCATTTGCTTACGATTGGAACCGGGTTTGTTTTGATTCATCAAATTTAAGTTTCTGTCTTCTAAGATGTTGGAAAATAAATTCTTTATTCTGACAAATACAAAACGGACTGGATAATTGCAATTTCTATTCCAAGTAGTATGCTAATTTACATTCACCGATAACACTATTTAAATGCTTGTTCTCGAAGTGATATAAAAATCTAAACAAAGTATATGGTTTTTGGCCCAAACCTCTATATAGATTTTTTTCTGTAAATACATACAGTTGTTTTGTGAAAACATTAAACAATCTAAATTTATTTCCTAAAACCCGGTTTAAACATTGTCCCTAATTAGTTGCGGCATGGACATGCATTCGTTCGATGACAGGCAAACCTCGTTTTGTTATTTTATAATCATTTTGATTGAATTCAAATCAAACATTTTACTGCTGCCGGTATGACAAAAAGGAGTCGAAGCCTCTCAATTCGATATCCAATACAAAACCGATATACAGAATTCGTGGCTTTCCTTTTCTCAGAACTAAAAACACGACTTGTCCTGCGATTCTTAAATATTTAGAAGTAACAAATGCCTCCCATTAATGTACTCATTCCGTTTCCAACGCCAAGAAGAAGTTTCAACGACGGTGGTATCCGAATTCTCCCTCTTGTGACTGT